TGTATAGTTCTTGGGAGAAGGATAGATGTCTTCAACTATGTTTAGTAGTTCTTCTCTTTTTGATATGGGGACTCTTTCTTTTTTTCTTTAGTTTGTATATTTCACATTTTCCATTATTTAGCCGTCTTCTCAGGACTTTTGGATTTTTATTCCCTTCTATAGTTCGGTAAACCTTTTCATTCTTAAATTTTCTTAAGACTTTCCTTATAGCTTTTGGTAGCTCTTTATTTATTTTTTGTAATTTTTCTTCGTCAATGCTTTCGTTTTCTTTGATTTCTCTTCTAGTTTCCATTTAAAACTTCTTAAATGGTTCTTACTATTTACATGGTATTTTCTATGATTTAAGTCTGTTTTTTTTAATAGAAACAGATTTAAATAATTTTCACAAAAGTGTAAAACGCCATGTAAATAGTAAGGGGCATTTTAGTACTACAATTAAAGAAAAATAATTTGGGACGTATCGTATTTAACATAGTTTGGAGAGTGAATTAAAAATAAGCCACTGACTTCACAAGTAAAGGGTAAATAAATAGGGATGTGTTAAAAGGAATAATTGATGTAACTCGTTTTTTGGGGGAGAATGAATTAAGTTTCAGTGGTCATAATAAAACAAGTAAATCAGCCAATCCAGAAAATTATATAGACCTTTAAATTTTTTGAACAAAATATCATTTTATCAATTCAACAGTTTTCTGGGGCACCTCAAACAGAATCCAAAACGATATAATTAAATCATCATTGTAAATATATTTTAATCAAATTAATTGTTATAAACTTTTTATAATCATAAATAAAAATAGTAAAATTAAGTATGTACATTGTTATATGTTAATTATATATACAGAATAATTTCATACTTTTTATTTGTAATTATACAAAAATTTATAACAAGTAATTTGTGTAAATTACATTTTTAATGTTTTTGAGAAAAAATAATTGTAAAAATAATAAGCATATTTCAAGAAAAATTAACACGTATAGATTTAATTTAAAGTAAAATATTAATTTTTGTAAAATATATTGTTCAAAGATATTATTTATAACTATAATACATAACTATTTAAGTTGCCTATTATTTCATAATATTTTCTGCTTAAAATAATAAAAAAGTAAAATTTTGCAAAACAAATATTTATTTTAAATTGTTTAATCAAATTACTCGGTTAAATTATTAATTCACACATTTACCAAATGCATTTTTATGATTTATGACACGAGTTTAACCAATTTAAAAAAATATTTTCATTTTCGTTGATTAGAACCGAATATATTGCTACTTCTATAAATTTGAATTTATGAATTCAGTTTTTGAAATTATAAAATCTACAACACATGAAATTGCGCGTTCAAAATTTTAAAGAATTAAAATTTGTAGAATTATGCAATTTTAATATTTCTAATTACAATTCATCTAAATTTCTTACAGAGGCATTTATAAGAAATAAAAAATTCAAAATGCGGAGACATACTTTCCAAGGTCTATTAAAAAAGAGTGAATTAAACAATTATCACAAAACCCAAAATTTTACGGCGATATCACAGAATAATAAACAAACAGAATGCCCACTCTCCACGGAAAATTAAGTACGCGCATCTCCTTCGCGCAGACGTTCCGCCATGTTTTACGAGGATTTTAAAGGGAACCAGTGTTGTTTATGTGGTGTGCATGGAAAAAAAAACCAGGTTTATTTGACTTACGGCAATCATAAACATACTATACAATTATATTAACATTGTTAAATATAATAACATAAATATAATATAATTAAACATAAATGTAAACAATTGCATAACCTCACAAATCATATGTTTGTGTCCTCCTAAAACATGGCGCGCGTGCTGAAAAACTTCAAAGGCGGCATCTGAGAGTGGCCCTTCTGATTGTTTATTATTCTGTGGCGATATTAAGTCCGTGTCAGACGGTCAAATATTTGATCAAACTAATCTGACCGAACCAAAAAATTGACAGTATATAACATCACATCCTGAGTTTGATCAAATCCTCTAAAAATAGAGGATCTTCTATTTTCAAGGTCAATATAACATCACATCCTGAGTTTGATCAAATCCTCTAAAAATAGAGGATCTTCTATTTTCAAGGTCAATTTGATCAAACTTTAGTTTTGATTGGTCGAAAAATATCTAAAGTCAAATGACAATCAGTGTGTGGTTTATTTGTCTTCCTATTTTGTTAATAAAAATTTTAAATATCTTGCAGCCAGGAATAAGTTTCTACATACTTGATTTATACCGAGAAAGAAGCTGTTGATATAATGTCAAACATTCATATTATTACAAAAATTCTTTCACCATATTTATTTTCCTTGTGTATAAGAAAAATTAAAATCGTAAATAAAGTCCAAGCAACTAATACAATAAGCAAAAAAGACAATTAATTTCCTTGACATACGTCAATTTGATCAAATTTAAATGATCGTGTGACAGGTAGATTTTTAAAATTTGAACAAACTAATTATGACGTCATTACGTGAGTTTGCTCAAACTAGTTTGATCAAATATTTGACCGTCTGACACGGACTTTATAGACAATTTTGCATTGGTTTATAGAAGAATACTCCATACTGGTGGGATGAAGAAATAGACACAGCGATAAAACAAAAGAAACAAAAGTATGAACAATATACAAATTGGTCTGATTACAAAAACCATCAAGCTAAGGTGAGACAAATGATAAGACAGAAAAAAAATGAATCCTGGGATCAAAACTGTCAAAAATTAAATACGTACATAGAAGGAACTAGAAGTACAGAAAGCTGGAAACTTATTAAATCTCTTAGGACCAACGACAAGAAAAAAGATTTAATCTCACCAATTTCGTTAGAAACATGGGACATGTACTTCAGTAAACTGTTACAAGAAGACCGAATGGAATTCAAAATAAAAGAAAGTAACCAAAACATACGCGTTAAAGCATCTCCTATAAGAATCACGAAAAAGGAAGTAAGGGATATCTGTATTTCACTCAAAAACAAAAAAAGCGCCCGGACCTGGCAATATACCCTCAGAACTGATAAAATATGGAACTGAAAAACTATAAGAGCATTTGACAATACTCTTTCAAAACTGCATAAAACAAAGTAGAGGTTCCAGCCGAATTTAAAACCTCAACCATTTCAACTTTACATAAAAAGGGAAACAAACAAAATTGCTACAATTACCGTGGAATAGCAGTTACTAGTACCATTAGTAAAATCTATGGGAAAATGATCAAAAATAGAATAGAAAGAGAATACACTGATATGGAGGCAGAAGAACAGGCGGGTTTTAGAGCTGGTAGATCGACCATAGACCACCTTTTTTGTATCACCCAACTTATAAAAAAAAAAGGTTGCTGTAGATCAAGAAGTCCACTTTTTGTTTGTTGATCTAAAAAAGGCCTACGATAGCATCCCTCAAAATAAGTTATGGAACACTCTCAGACAAACGAACATCAACTCAAATCTCATAACAGCAGTGGAAAAACTATATGAGAACGCCAACGCCAAAGGTTAAAATAGGAACGAATGTTTCCAAAGGTTTTGTAGTAGACAAAGGACTGAAGCAGGGATGCTGCTTAGCGCCGACACTTTTCAAAATATATCTGGAACAAGCATTTAAAACTCTGGAAGCGGAAATGCAGCGGCATGGGTATACAATTAAACAATAACAACCTGTACACTCTATGTTTTTGCTGATGATCAAATTGTGATTGCTAACGAATATGACGACCTAGAATACATGACTCGAAAATTAATCGAAGAATACAAAAAATGGGGATTAGAAGTCAACATAGATAAAACAATGTACATGAACATTAAGTACAACAATAAATATTCCTATTTAGGAGTAGAAATCACAGACGACGGCAAATCAGATCAGGCTATAAAAAAACGAAACACTCAGGGTAGAAGGGCCATATCTCAACTAAATAGTATTATCTGGGATCAACATATATCCAAAAAAAAATAAACATCGAATATACAACACTATTATAAAGAGCATAGTAATGTATGGAAGTGACGTGTGGCAGTTAAAGGCAACTACTGAAAGAACACTACAAGCCACGGAGATGGACTACTGGAGACGGGCCGCAGGAAAATCAAAACTCGAAAGAATTAATAACGAACGTATACGAGAGGTTATGGGAGTCACACATACGATTGTCGAAGATATAAGAGTACAACAACTAAAGTGGTATGGACATGTGCAGAGAATGCCAGAACATCGTCTGCCCAAACAGATTATAGATTGGTCACCACATGGAAAGAGAAAAAGAGGCCGACCCAGAAAGAGCTGGAGAGAAGGAATAGACAGAGAGATCCGAGAGAGAGGTTTAGACGAAGATCTTTGGGAAGATAGAGATGCATGGAGATTGGGCATAGGAAGACGTCGGAGGACGTTTTTAAACTGATTATATATATATATATATATATATATATATATATATATATATATATATATTATAGAAGAGTAGATCTCAAGTACTTGTATAGATAAGTGTCATATTGTTGAAACTTGTGTGTTGTAGAAAATGCCTCAAAATATAAAAATTTTAAATAGAACTCTTCGTTTTAAGTTTAAAGAAACCATCGTGTTAATATATTAGGTGTATACTTATTAAGTAGGTAATCTCCACGCTGGTAAGCATGGGTTCTTGGGTTCTTATACCCTTATTGAATCGCTTCCCCTTCCGAAAATGTCGCCGCACGCCACTGGTAAGAAGGGAAAGAAGACGACATCGCTTGTAAATATGTTATTTGCGTAAACAAAGCGTGTATCGAAACATTGTATCAAAAAATTTACATAAAAATTTGTCTTAAACTATTAAGAAGTCAACCAGTCAATTTTCAAAAGAAAATATTTTTTCTTTTCTTATAGTTGACAAAATTTTATATACTATATATAATATATAAGTTATTTTCTAACAAATTTTTATTCAAAAAATTTACTTTGTGCTTTTTTAATATCTATAGACATTTATTAATTTTTTTATTTTTTAGCTTTTGATACACATATTCGCAACTGCTAGCCTTCGAAAAGCCTTACGGTTCGAACCGGACAAACGAATCGAACTATGGAGATTTTTTACGTATATGCTGATCCACGACGGTTGGTACCATTTTATGCTGAATATAGTAATTCAGTGTATTTTTGCAGTACTTCTTGAAAAAAGACAGGGACACCTTCGGGTCCTTATTCTATATTTCCTTGGAGGGTTTACAGGTGTCCTTGGAGCCTCATGTGTTCATCCTGATCTTGTGATAGGGGCGTCGGCTGGTGTTTATGCCCTCTTAATATCCAATATTCCTGATATTATTTTAGTAAGTATGTAAAAGCTATAAATGTATTATTTAGACAATTTAACAATATTCTTTAATAGAAATTATAAAAGAATAAGATAAAACATTAAGATTATTTGAACATAATTTTTAACCTCGGTTATTGTGTGGGCAAGTTCGTGCAAGGTGATAAAAAATTTAGAAGACTAATAAATAGAAACATCGCAAATGGACATATATTTCAAGACCAATAATACCAAAAATCCAATGTTTTAATAAAAAAAAGATTAAAAAAAAACAGAAAGAAAAATAAAACCATAATGTGGATATTCCATTTACTAAATAATTTACCAAACGTAATTTACCAATGAGTAATAATGGTGACAATGGTAGGAAAAATAATGCAAATACGAGGCTTGTTCAATTAAAACCATCCTTTGGCCCAGAAAAAAAATTACTATTTAACTGGGAATAAGCCACAATTAAAGATAAAAATACGTTTATTGACGTTTCAATTTCCACTTCGGAAATCGTTCTCAAAATACAAACAGTAAATAAACAAATTTTGTTTTTTGTTACATAGTGAAAAATTATTCTAATAATTTAATTTTATCTGACTCATTTATATTGACAATTCAGACATACATTATGCATTTTAAAGTAGACGACTTTAAAATGATATTGCCAACATTGTTGAGTTGCGCTCCTGGGACGACTTTACTTATAAGATAGTTCATTTGATTACATGAAATCAACTTTTACTTGAGAATATCCGTCAGAAAAAAATCATAGCTTGTAATTCGTCTTTAAAAAGACAAACACATGACATGATGACAGTAAAATTCTCCTGTTAGTGATTCCATAGTAAATTATAAGGGAAAAACCAGGAAAAAAACCTCAATACTATCCCGATATGGTAAGTATTTGTTCGTGCATTTAGTTTACCTTCAATAAACATCAAAATTCTGATTTTATATGTTTCGTTATTTAAAAAACATAAATGATGTATCCTCTATATGTTACTGACTTACTAATACTGGTATTTTCTTATTAATAACTTCCTCTTTCAATATTGGTAACCAGATCCTACTACATTTTGCCGATGAATTTGCGACACAATTGGCCTCATTTAGCATAATTAGAGCCGCTTCTTTGATTTTTCTTTTTTTACCATCCGTTTCTTTTAGGACTACAATTGAATTATTCCATTGAACCCTATGTTCCATTGAATAGAACAGAACAACATAGAACAAGATCCTATAGCATACATAAGGAATAATACGAGGAAAATAACAATACCGTACATAAAAAGATTATCAGAAAAACTTAAAAGGATAGGAAATAAATTCAACATTTCAACAACATTCAAAACAACAAAAACGTTGAGATCTATTTTGTCCAAAACCAAACTTAACAATGAACAAGAAAGGACAAAGAATTGCATTTATAAAATACCTTGTGAATACGATCAGTTTTATCTAGGTGAATCATCAAGGCCATTAAATGTTAGAATAAGTGAACATCAATCTTATATTAAAAATAGAGAATTTGATAGATCTCAAATATGTAAACACGCATGGGATAATAAACATAGGGTTCAATGGAATAATTCAAATGTAGTCCTAAAAGAAACGGATGGTAAAAAAAGAAAAATCAAAGAAGCGGTTCTAATTATGCTAAATGAGACCAATGGTGTCGCAAATTCCTCGGCAGAATGTAGTAGGATCTGGTTACCAATATTGAAAGAGGAAGTTATTAATAAGGAAATAACAGTATTAGTATGTCAGTAACATATAGAGGATACAACATTTATGTTTTTTAAATAACGAAACATATAAAATCAGAATTTTGGTGTTTATTGAAGGTAAACTAAATGCACGAACAAATACTTACCATGTCGGGATAGTATTATGAGGTTTTTTTCCTGGTTTTTCCCTCATAATTTACTATGGAATCACTAACAGGAGAATTTTACTGTCATCGTGTCATGTGTTTGTCTTTTTAAAGACGAATTACATGCTATGATTTTTTTTTTCTGACGGATATTCTCGAGTAAAAGTTGATTTCATGTAATCGAATGAACTATCTTATAAGTAAAGTCGTCCCAGGAGCGCAACTCAACAATATTGGCAATATCATTTTAAAGTCGTCTACTTTAATAATGTATGTCTGAATTGTCAATATAAATGAGTCAGATAAAATTAAATTATTAGAAGAATTTTTCACTATGTAACAAAAAACAAAATTTGTTTATTAACTGTTTGTATTTTGAGAACGATTTCCGAAGTGGAAATTGAAACGTCAATAAACGTATTTTTATCTTTAATTGTGGCTTATTCCCAGTTAAATAGCAATTAATTTAAAATGCCACAATAAAATAGCTTCAGAACAATATTCAGAAAAAAAAATTATTGGCAAATACATCTACAAATAATTACCATTAATTAAGGCACAATAAACAATTTTTTGGCTTGTAAACAAATAGAATATCTAAGTAACTGTTAGCTTAAATTAAATTCAGGAAACGGCGTTGGAAAAAACTTAGCAAGATACTTCTTTTAGAAGAAAAAAAGTTGAATTACACGCAGTAGTTCCTGAGATACCACCGATCAAAGTTGGCCGGCATTTGCGACGAAGCTATAAGCAATAGGATGATAATCTTTAAATTATTATTTTTTCTTTTGGAGTTCTTTTTGGAAAAAAAAAGAACTCCAAACTACAAAAAAAGACTACTACTTAAGATTAAATAACTTAAGTTTTCACTACTTAAGATTAAATAAAATATTTCATTTACTTTAGACCACATGGTTAGTTGCTGTGCTAATTTTTTATAAGTTGCTATATGTTGTAAGTTAATTGATTGTTTATACAATATCACCGTATAATGTCCATTTACTTGAGTTTTATTCACAAACTTGTTAATATCTTTGACTGCTACATGTCTTTTTAAGATAACATTTATAACATCGTTTCCATGATTGTGTGGTTCTCATATTGTACTTTTTAGATGAACTGATGATGCTTTCAGAATACGAAAGCGAAACGTCTTCAAAATAGATAAAGTAGCCTATCAACTTTGTCTTTTATTTCTCCACCTTGAGACCGATATAAGAACCCACCACTCGTCTGAGTGATCCTTATATATATATATATATATATATATATATATATATATATATATATATAATATATATATATATATATATATAATATATATTGTAGTTTTGATTTTTGATTGATTGCAATGGAAAATAAAATCTAGTTCCACATGTAACATATCTTTATTGAACCTAAACCCAAGAAACATTAATTTTATATTATATATATATATATATATATTATTATAAACAATTAATTTTAGATGATCATATGTGTTTTAAAAGATTTTCTTTTTTTTTTTCAGAATTATACCAAAATAAATTATAAAATCTACCGAATAGTTGCCATAGGAATTTTAGTACTCTTTGATATAGTATATAACATAGTTCATATATACACGAAAAAGGAACCTGTCATATCATGGGAAGCACATTGCGTTGGTGGTGTTGCCGGTCTTCTCTTGGGATTCATAATATACAAAAATGGTGATAAGTGCCAAAACTTAACTGTCAATAGAACGTTATTTTGGATAAGTGTGATATTTTATGCTTTTATTGTAATTGGCTTCGTGATAGTAACTTTGCAAATTAAAAAATGTACTCCTTCTAATATTATTCATTTTAGATATGTTTATGTTTGTTGATGAATCTGTTTTATTCTGTTAAAACTTATTTAAAATTTAAATATGTAATATGTATACCTACTTATTAAAAAATACAATATTACTGTTATCGGTTTCTGGTTTTTAAAAAATATTTGGTAAAAAAGATAGATATACTAAACGTCATTGTGGTTTAACAAGGTATGATATTACGTGGCTATATATATATATATATATATATATATATATATATATATATATATATATAGGATCAGGATTATTCGACGTTGGCGATGACCATTGCGCGGGCTTCTCGATTTTCTGCAATATGAAATAATTGTCTTGTATTTGATATCTGAGTCCATTCACGAATGTTTTTTAACCAAGAGACTTGTTTTCTTCCTACACCTCTACGGCCCTATATTTTGCCTTTAAGGATCAGTTGTAATATTTTATATCCCCCTTCCCTTAGTATATGTCCCAGATAAGACATTTTTTGAGTCTTTAGCAGTTCTCTATCTTTGTTGACGCTCCTTAGTACTTCGTCATTAGTTTTCCTTGCTGTCCAAGGTATCTTCAGCATTCGTCTATGAATCTACATTTCCAATGCTTCAATTTTGTTCATGATCGACACTTTTAGCGTCTACACTTCTGCACTATACAAAAGTACGGACCGAACATAGCACTTAACCATTCTTCGTCGTGGTTCTAAACTGAGATGATTATTTCAGAGAAATGTCTTCAGTTTCAAAAAAGTAGTTTTAGTCATTGCTAGGCTACGTTTTTGGTCCATTATCACAGTTCCCAAATACGTCACTTTGTCAACTTTCTCAACTTGGACTCCGTTTAATTGGAGCTTTGCAACGGGATGTGGGTCACAACTAAACACTCAAATTTTGGTTTTGTTTGAGTCTATTTTAATGCTTATTACTTCTCCTACCTCGTGAATACGATCAAGCAGAATTTGGGGACCTTCAATATTATCTGACAGAACTACTTTATCGTCTGCATATTTAAGTGCCTTTTTAAATAACTAGTCCGAGTAAACATTGAACAATGTTGGCGACAAAATGCAACTTTGTCTGATTCCTTGTTGTATGAAGATTTAATCGGTGTAGTTATCTCCAATTTTTTACGATGACAGTTTGATTCCAGTATAAATCTTTAATGACATGAATATCCTTATCATCTATTCCGATATTTTTCAGTATTTGCATTAATTTTACATGCTGTACTTTATCGATTGCCTTTTCGTAGTCCACGAAACATGCAAATTCAACTTTTCTTGGCATTTTTGTAATAGGATGTTAAGCGCAAAAAGTGCCTCTCTGGTTTCCATAGCATTTCTAAAACCAAATTGGGTATCTTCGAGATCTTCGCATTTGCGTCTAATTCTGTTGGGAAGTATTCTTAGGAAAATGTTAAGAGTGTGGCTCATTAGGCTAATTAATCGATATTCTGAGCATTTTCTCATATTGTGTTTTTTAAGTATTGCGACGAAGATGGATTTGAGCCAATCTGTGTGAATCACTCCGGTGTTGTATATTGAATTAAAAATCTTACTTACTAATACTTTTATGTCATTATCCTCTATTAGTTTCAGCAACTCAGTTGGTGTATCATCTAGACTACAAGCTTTGTATGCTTCTACCTCGCATTTTATAATTTCTGGACTGTCGGTACAGTTTTGGTAGAATTCGGCAATATTATTTCTGCCATTCTTTTCTGATTTCGTGCTCATATACATTAATTTTGTTATTATTGTCAACGTGTACAGAGGGAACTCGTTTTTTTAAATACGTTACTCATTTCTTTTAGTTTTTTGTGCACATTAAATAAGTCGTGTTTAGATATTACATCCTCTATTTCGTCGAACCTTTCTCTCAATAATTTTTATTTGATTAATTTGATCTCCTTTTTTGCAGGTGTCTATATTCTGTTTCATTAGATTTTATCAGTCAACGTTGTTCCATTAATTTCAAGATGTCGTCTGTCATTCATTTATTTTTCTTGATTAAGTTTTTTCTATAATCATTGTTTGTGGAGATTTCGTTAACTTGGTTTTTAAGTTTACTCCATAGTTCTTCTGGATCTTCAAGTTGTTCTCCGATGTTTCTTATTCTATTGTTAAATTCTTTTTTAATGTAATATTTTATATCGTCAAAGTTAAGTACATTGGTTTTTGGTTTTTGTCGCTGAATTCGTTTTAACCTTAATTTAATACCTGCCACAAGTGTTTGATGATCAGATCCAATATCTACCCCAGGAAATGTAGTGACTCTTTTGACGTCATTTCGGAAACGCTCATTTACAAGTATATAGTCTATTTGATTTCTTGAGGACTCACGGTTATTGCCATCATCAAATGGTGCTTTCCAAGTATATAGTCGTCACTTGGATAGTTTATACCAGGTGTTTGCAATGATCATATCGTTTTCTTTACAAAATTCATACAATCTCTATCCTCGATCGATAGGTTGTCCTAGACCATAAGGACCTACAGCCTGACCATGGCGACCTTCTCCAATTTTTGCATTGAAGTCGTCTTCAACAATTATGGCATATACTGACGAAATGGACCTGATTGCTCGTCCAAACCGAAATATTAAGGAAGCGTTTACTTGCTTATAACTGCCGTAGAAAATATGGGCCTTTTAATAAACGAAGAGAAAACTAAAATAATGATATCCAGACTATATAGCGAAGATAGGGAGACAAACACTGGCAGAGCTCCCGCATATCTGGATATCGACTGATACTCTCAGTTGCATTACTTAGTTTTCAGTTTTCAGTAGTTTACTTTGGGGGGGGGGGTGGTACATGTCATGGTTCGATTACAAATTATTCCTTTTCGGCCTGATAATATTTAATATATTTTTGTTTTACTTCGACTTCAATACAGTAATTAATAACATAGAGATAAGTATTATTTAAATAATATTATAGTAAAAAAATTAATGTGCACAATTTTACTTCGATTGAAAAACTCACTTCTTAAAGATTATATATAAGTTTTTAATTATATAGTAATCATATTCCGATCATACATTTTTTTATATGGAAGAATTATTAAATACATACAGTTGATCGTACCTATTTTGTATTAATACGAATACCAGATAAATGTAAATTTTTAAACGTTATGTACCGATCTTATTAAAATGTTTGTTATATTTCGTGTCAACTAAATTTATAACCCTACCTTCTTTTTCCTTTGCTACTTGTAACGTTCCGTCACGTTAATCAAATGTTTATGGCAATAATACGAATTATCATTATTTCTCAATTTACATAATTACTGAGAGGTAGCCAATCCATATTACCTACGTAATAGGGGATGCAAGTAGTTCCTAATAGTACTTGTAACGCGACTTATGAGATTTGACATACAGCGGTGTTTATTGTTTATAACAATAGAAGAAAAAATTGCAATGAAACTATAGTTAAAAATCAATGATTTATCACCAGATTTGTGTATGGGCTTAACAAAGGTTCTTTTAAACTGTGATGGAAAGTCGGCCATTAGGCCAGGGAAATAAGCAAAAAAAGTACCCTGTTTTTGACACTCGTCCGGCCAGGCAAACGACAGTTGTTTTGAGTAGTGTGGACCTCTGTAACAAAAACCTAGTAATTAGTTATTAACAAATTAAGTCCAAAAAACGGAAAATTTTTGCTTTTTTCGTCTCTCAGCAAAAATTTAAACAAATTTTAGAAGAGAGGAAACTTATAAGTTATATAAAAACCTTCAAAATGGCGTTCTCAAAATTTTTCTATCCTTATTTGTTGTTTAGAAAGTTGCAAAATAAGTCAAAATTTCGGTTTTTTTATAAATGTTAATAACTTTTTTGAAATAAACTTACAATATTTATATTTCATGGAATGATGTGCCCTGTAGTGCTTAAAATAGGGTTAAAATTTCAAAGTGATCGGTCCAATAGTTTAAAAGTTCTTTTTTTGTTTATCCCAAATTAACATTTTTTGCAACAATATAAGTCAGAAATTTATACAGTTTTAGAAATTATAAGGGTTGTTTCTGGTAGAAGAAGACTTGTTTTATTATTTACATTAAAAAAAATTAGGAAAATTAATTTTAAATATTGCAAAATAATTTTGCAAAAACATGTCGTGTTTTTGCTTATAAACAATTAGAATAACTTCTTAACCGTTGACTCTAAAAATATTATTTTTACATATTTAAAAAGCTTGAATTTTTTCACAAATTTAAATAAAAAAAAGTTTGTCCTAAAATATTTTGGTACAAAGTTAGCCTCTTTTTTTATTTAATTCAAAGCACCTTTGTTTATAACAATTAAGAAATCTAATTAGCGCTATTTAAAAGAATATAAATTATAGTTTTAAAGTACTAAATTTTAAAATTATTGCCCTTTAATGGAATCCTCCACAAAGCTTCAAAATGTATGTAAAATCGGTCGGCTTTGAAACTCTCGGGAGCTGAAAGGAGGGGGAAGGCGCTGTTAACTGTATCTCTGTTCCTTTTTTATGTATTTCAACGTTTCTTTTTAAACTTGTATGTACTTTTTGCGTATATTACGAATATTCATTATTTCAATAAATAAATTGTGAAATAAACCACCTAATTTGTTTAAAAACAATTTTTTTAAATTTTTTTAGTAGTATTTAAGTTAAGTTTGAATGTAAATCAGAAGTATTTGTCATTTCCTATATTTTGGGGACTAAGCCACAATTTAAGTTTATAATAAGTTTATTTTTGATGTTTCCATTTCTACTTCGGAAATCTTTCCCAGAATGCAGAACATTAATAAATTAATCAAATTTTGTTTTTGGTTACTTGGTAGAAAATTTTTGTGATAACTCTTTTGGGTGATTGATTAGTATGAGAAAACTCAGTAGATCTGTTATAGTAAAAATTACAAAAAAAAAATTGTTGACAAAAATTGTAGACAGCTTTAAACTCCACATTTTTAAATTAGTTACAAACTTACAGGGTGTTCTATAAGATTGTGGCAGACCAAACTTATGTTTTTTTAAATGAAACACCCTGTATTTTATGTTAAATTTAAAATCTGCTTGACTTCCACATCACAATAATGTAAAGTTTTATTATGTTATACCGGATATTTAAAAAGTAATAATTAATATTACCTGAAAATCGTATCAAGTTTAACTCCCTGTATCATTAAAAAGGAGTATAGGACCATTGATCTATTGCAACCATAGTTTTTTAATAATTGTTAAAAATTATAAAACATATTCGTTTTCATAATATTCGTTAAATCAAATACAGGGTAAGCCAAATGCAAGTACATTATTTTCTTGATAATTTTAAATAGAACACCCTGTATTTTAAGTCACTATCGAAAAGTACTAATAAATATCGTACTTTACATTTTATGGAATACTCCCTATACCTAAAGTAATCAATTTTCTAGATAAGTATTAATTTGGTAGATATTTGAACTTTTACCAATAATTATTGGGAGTTGGCCATGATTGATTTGTCAGAAACTGACAGTTTGACATTATTGTTTTTTAATTCAGTAACGAGATAACGACACAGAAAAAAAAACAATTTGTTTCAAATAAAATTTATAAAAAATAACCAACAGAAAATAAAAAAAATAACAACACATAAAAAAATAAAAAACAACTGTAATTTTAACTAATCATACTTAAGTAAGGTGTTCAAAATGACCTCCCAAAACATCTATGCATACTTGAAAACGGTCATTGAAAGAGTTACTTACATTAGTAAGCATTTTTAAAGATATATTTTGAAATGCAATTCGGATTCTATTTTTTATATCCCTTGTTGTTGAAGGTATTATATATACTTCGTGCTTAATGTAACCCCAAAAAAAGGGTTCACTTTATTGAATTCTGGTGACCTTGGGCCACCCCTTAAGATCCATCTTTCACCAAACTGATCATTAAGTTCACCACGTACTAATTCGTTGTGGTACGCAGAAGCACCTCCATGTAGAAACCACATTTGTTCACGTATATTAAGTGGAAACTCTTCTAATAATATCGGTAACTGATGTACGATAAAATCTAAATAAAGCTTACCATTTACGTTATATTTAAACAAATATGGTCCTACCACATGGTTACCTACGATACTTCCCCACACATTTAAAGATTATCTTGTTTGACTATGTGTTACTATTTGATATGGATTACTTGTTGAATAGTAGTGAAAGTTATTTATGCCCATTAACAGAACCGCTTCAGTGGAATGCAGCTTCATCACCAAATATGATATAATCAAAAAAAAAAAACTCTGTTCATTAATTTTTTTTAAGGCCCATTCACAAAATACTATTCGTTTCTGAAAATCATCATCATTTCATTCTTGGTGCTTTTGAATATGATATGGGTGCATCTTGTTTTTAGATAGAATGTTTTGAACAGAGTAGTAACTAAGTTCTTGCTTATTGGAAATACTCCTTATACTTGTGAGTGGGTTTTCTGTAACTGCCATCAACACACTCATTTCGTTTTCCTCTGTCACACTAGTTTTTTTTTCGTTCATGTTTTTCAGAATTCACTAAACCAGTGCGGTTAAATCGATCTTTCAATTTTTCAAATGTATCTTGTCTAGGTTGCCGCCTATCTGGAAACCGTTCATGATAAGCTAAGACTAGCTGATAGTAATGAATTTTTATTGCATTCCATCAATATCCAGATCATATTTATCTATCATTTCATCAGTAGTAAAATTCATTACTGCTAATTTGGAATTGAATAAATTATTGAATTGCTAAATAATAATTGTTGCTAATTTACGATGTACCCCAATACTGAATTAATAAACAATAATGTCAAACTGTCAGTTTCTGACAAATCAATCATGGACAACTCACAATAATTATTGGTAGACGTTAAAATTTCAAAATTTATACTTTGATGGAAAAATAAAAATATCTAGAAAACTAATAACTTTATGTTTAGGGAGTACTCTATAAAATTTGAAGTACGATATTAGTACTTTTCGATAGTGATATAAAATACAGGGTGTTCTATTTAAAATTACCAAGAAAATAATGTACTTGCATTTTGACTTACACTGTATTTGATTTAACGAATATTATGAAAACGAATATGTTTTATAATTTTTAACAATTATTAAAAAACTATGGTTGAAATAGATCAATGGTCCTATACTATTTTTTAATTATACAGGGAGTTAAACTTAATACGATTTTCAGGTAATATTGGTTATATCTTTTTAAATACCCGGTATAACATAATAAAACTTTACATCGTTGTGATGTGGAAGTGAAGCAGATTTTAAATTTAAAATAAAATACAGGGTGTTTTATTTAAAAAAATATAAGTTTGGTCTGCCACAATCTTATAGAACACCCTGTAAGTTTGTAACTAATTTAAAAATGTTGAGTTTAAAGCTGTCTACAATTTTTGTCAATAACTTTTTTTTGTAATTTTTACTAAAACAGATCTACTGAGCTTTCTTACCCTTAATCAATCACCCAGTAGAGTTATCAGAAAAATTTTCCAACCAAATTTTCTACCAAGTAACCAAAAACAAAATTTGATTAATTTGTTAATGTTCTGTATTCTGAAAAAGATTTCCGAAGTAGAAATCGAAACGTCAAAAATAAACTTATTATAAACTTAAATTGTGGCTTATTACCTACCCAAAGTACTTCTGTTTTACATTCAAACTTAAGTTAAATACTACTAAAAAAATTAAAAAAATTGTTTTTTAAACAAATTAGGTGGTTTATTTGACAATTTATTTATTGAAATAATGCATATTCGTAATGTACGCAAAAAGTGCATACAAGTTCAAAAAGAAACGTTGAAATACATAAAAAAGGAACAGAGATACAGTTAACAGCGCCTTCCCCCTCCCTTCAGCTCCCGAGATTTTCAAAGCCGACCGATTTTACATACATTTTGAAGCTTTGTGGAGGATTCCATTAAAGGGCAATAATTTTAAAATTTAGTACTTTAAAACTATAATGTATATTCTTTTAAATAGCGCTAATTAGATTTCTTAATTGTTATAAACAAAGGTGCTATGAATTAAATAAAAAAAGAGGCTAACTTTGTACCAAATTATTTTAGGACAAACTTTTTTTAATTTAAATTTGTGAAAAAATTCAAGCTTGTTAAATATGTAAAAATAATATTTTTACAGTCAATGGTTAAAAAGTTATTCTAATTGTTTATAAGCAAAAAATCGACATGCTTTTGCAAAAATATTTTGCAATATTTAAAATTAATTTTTCTAATTTTTTTAATGTAAATAATAAAACAAGTCTTTGTCTACCAGAAACAACATCTACAATTTCTAAAACTGTATAAATTTCTGACTTATATTGTTGCAAAAAATGTAAATTTGGGATAAACAAATAAAATAACTTTTAAACTATTGGACCGATCACTTTGAAATTTTAACCCTATTTTAAGCACTACAAGACACATCATTCCATGAAATATAAGTATTATAAGTTTATTTTCAAAAAAGTTATTAACATTTATAAAAAACCAAAATTTTTGACTTATTTTGCAACTTTCTAAACAACAAATAAGGATAGAAACATTATGAGAAGGCCATTTTGAAGGTTTTTATATAACTTATAAGTTTCCTCTCTTCTAAAATTTGTTTAAATTGCTTCACTTTTTGCTGATACACGAAAAAAGCAAAAATTTTCCGTTTTTTGGACTTAATTTGTTAATAACTAATTTAGTCCAAAAAATCGACTACAGGAAACATATAGGTTTTTGTTACAGAGGTCCACAGTACTCAAAACAACTGTCGTTTGCCTGGCCGGACGAGTGTCATGAAAAAATGTTTATTTCCCTGGGCTAGATTTATTAAAAATTAGCCACAAAGGTATACATAAAGGGAATGCACAATTTCTTAAAACTAGGTTAGATATTCTATCTAAATCAGAAACCTATATTGTATTCTGACACTGTAAGTATGCTAGAATGTTAAAAATTTGAATAGTTAAGGAGTGAATGTAGCCCATGCAGGGAAAAGAGTGATTATGGACACTGATAAAGAAATTTCTAAATCACTAACAACAGAATCATTCAACTTCATGCAACTTGAAATATCAAAATTATTCCTGTTAAGCACGCCATACACACTATGGTCTACCGGAGAGGTTACCTGTGCAGATATGCCTGTACAGGTCAACGAAACCGCGGTAGCGTTTATGGGACTCTCTGGTGTACTGGTATACCTGATGCGGTATTTAGTTCGTTAAGCGATGACATCGATTGGAGACGATGACGCGTTGGCATTGTTAGGCCCTGTTTTATTTTTGAAGACAAAAGTTAAAAAAAACAGTGAAATAAAGCGAAAAAAGTAGTGTAAGCGTTGGTTGTTGAAAAGGAAAACATACAGTCATGTTAAAGTATCTATTGAATGAATTTAAATTTGAACCAAAAGGGAAGAACCAACTGGAAGAAGTTATGCGGACTTAAAATTCTCAGCAATTATTTCATCTTAAGCGCTTGAAAAAATTATTCCTGAAACATGTGAGAACTTTTATAAAGTTCTTAGAAAAGATTATTTAAAGATTTTAGTCTTCTGGACTTTATTTTTTTTTATGATGTTGACGTCTGGGTAACGTTCTTCGTGCTCTTTATTGGTTCTTATCCTATATTGTCCTGATGCTTCATCCAGCACAGGACCAAAGATCTTCCTTAGGATTTTTCTTTCCCAAACACATAGTCTCTCTTCGTTTGCCTTTGTTATTGTCCACGTTTCGCTTCCATACATCACAACGGGTCGTATGATTGTTTTATAGACCTGTATTTCGTGTTAGTTGTTTTGATTTTATAAGGTTTTGGAGGGCAAAAAGACATCTGTTGATGGCCTGAATCCTGTTGTTTATTTCTTGTGATCCGTTATTGTCTTCAGCTATTGTTGTTCCAAGATACATGAATTCTCTAACGCGCTCAAAGTTAAAGTCATCGATGGTGATGTTCTGATCGATTCTGTCTCTGCTTTGGTTATTGCGGCTTATATACATATATTTCGTCTTGTTTTCGTTGATTTGGAGCCCCATCTTCTCTGCTTCCTTCTCGAACCTCACGAAAATCTCCTTCATCCTTAATCGTGTGTTTCCTATTAGATCGATATCGTCTGCAAATGCCAGTAATAAATTTGGTCCTTCTCGATGAAATACTGTATTAGGTTTATCGATTCTTGCACTTCTGATTATGTGCTCCAGGGCTAAGTTGAAGAGATGTGGTGAAAGTGCATCTCCCTGTTTTAGTCCATTATTTATCTCAAATGTCTCCGAGAATTGTTGTCCAACTCTCACCTTACATCGTGACCATTCCATACACATCCGTATCAACCTGACTAGTTTTTTTGGAAAGCCAAGTTCCTGCATCGCTGTCTACAGTATGTCCCTGCATACTGTATCAAATGCTTGTTTAAAATCTATGAACATCTGATGAAGCTCACTATCAAACTCCCAGCATTTTTCCATTATCTGTTTTATTGTGAATATCTGGTCAATAGTAGAGCGGCCCGGTCTAAATCCGCATTAATAATTTCCAACGATTTCTTCTGTGTATGTTTTGGTTCTTTCTAGCAGGATGTTTGCAAGGAGTTTGTAGGTGGTGTTTAGGAGTGTTATTCCTCTGTAGTTTATACATTGCTTTTTGTTTCTCGCCAAATGTCTTGAATTAGCTTGTATATAGAACTGTACAACGCTTCTCCACCATGTTTTAAGCATTCTGCGGGTATACCATCGCTACCTGGTGTCTTATTATTTTTAAGTTTTTAATTGCTTCTATTACTTCTTCGTTGGTCATCTATTTCAGCTGTATGTACCTCTATGTCTCTCTACCTCTATGTTTGATGTATTTCTGCTAGATTGATTATTTCGTCATCATTAATATTAAATAAAATAAGGTTGAATTTGTCTTCCTTACCAAATTCAAAATTTGTGCCCATAGTTACTTAACGGTAAATGATATTCTAGAAAAAACCTTCAGTGATAACCCAGTCGCCGCCGCTTGTTTAACAGCGATATCCGACGCCTAAATGTTTCGGCAGAAACCTAAGGGTAGTATAGATAACACTGAATCTGTCTTTTGGAATATCAGTTAACTCGGTTCTTTGTGTAGACATTTAAACAATTTCACAAAGTTATGGAGTCTTCTAAGTACGTGTTTTTTTTTTGTAATTTCTTAGTTTTCTTCTTAGTAAGAGTGGTATGGATAAAACTGAATCTTTCTTCTGGAATATCAGTTATGACGACTTTTGTAGTTCCTTATCTTAGACGTCATTTTCTTATTTTTTCGTCATCAATAATATTAAATAAAACAAAGGTCAATTTGTCTTCCTTATCAAATTCAAAATTTGTCCCCATAGATACTCACACACAGCTGGTGAATGGTATTCTAGAAAAAACCTACAGTGATAACTCAGTCGCTGACGCTCGTTTCACAGTGATATTCGACGCCTAAATGTTTCGGTAGAAACCATGGACATATAAATTTATACGTCCATGGTAGAAACCATGGATCAGTCTTTAATAGAATGCGCAAACTCTTTTGCAATCGTGATATCAATATAAAGTTACGAATACGAATGCTGCGGTGTTATGTCTTTTCTACCCTATTATATGGAGTTGAGGCTTGGACACTAAAACAGTTGACCATAAAAAACATCGAAGCTTTCGAGATGTGGTGCTATAGGCGCATTCTCAGAATATCATGGATGGACCGCGTCACTAACACGCAAGTACTCCAAACTTTAGACAAAAGATGCAAAATTCTAAATGAGATAAAAACTAGAAAGATGGAATACTTGGGGCACATTGTGAGAGGTGAAAAGTACGAACTTTTAAGAAACATCATGCAGGGCAAAATTAAGGGCAAAAGAAGTGTGGGAAGAAGAAAAATATCGTGGCTTCGTAATCTACGTGAATGGTTCGGGTGTAGTTCGATTGAACTTTTCAGGCGCGCTGCTAACAAAGTCGCAGTGGCCATGATGATTTCCAATCTCCGCTAGGAGTGGCACGAGAAGAAGAAGAGGTAGAAACCGATATCTGGATCGAAGAATGGTGTGAATAAACTCTAGTCTTAAAATTAAGTGCCAAATCGCTCATAAAAAATATTTCCCTTCTCTCTGGAAACACTCTGTATAAATGAAACAATGTCCACAAGGACCTTACAACCTCGATATGTTGCGCCATTGATAAAACGCGACAAAGAATGCGTAAAATCGATTTTAATTATCCAGAGCAACCAAACGGTCACCCACAGGTGTAAGTTACTATGGAAATAAACAAATTGCCCAGCAATAATACTATCCGTCAGTCTTGAGTTGTCAACTTATAATATTAAAATTTTAAATTGGTAATTTTTATTAGAAGAAACAATGTCTCATTTGGATTTAATATGTGACCATTCCAAAGAAAAATTAGTAGTAGTACCTCAGGATGTTTTAGATTTAACAAACTTGAAGATGCTTTTCTTAGAGGGGAATTTTATTACTGCATTACCGGATAATTTGTTCTGGAAACTACCCAAATTGATGTGGTTAGATTTAAGAAACAATTTATTGGAATCTATTCCTACTAGTATTGCATTTCATGAAAAACTAGAAAATTTGTTATTAACGAATAATAATTTATATAATCTGCCAAATGAACTTGGTAAGTATGTTCTAAAGTATTTTACAAACGAATTTTATGAATTATAATTGTATTAAAACTACTCGTATAACTTATAATATATTATAATTATAAGAAATAATAGAGTTAAGTGCTCTAATATCGGATACTTTTTTTTTGAACAACTAATATTAAAATTATGAATATTTTAGAGCAAAACAAGTAATAGACTCTCTAAAAATCATTTCTACGAAGTAAGAAAATAAAATTTACATATATATATATATATATATATATATATATATATATATACAGGGTGAGTCATGAGGAACTTTACATACTTCTACCATATGTAGAGTCCCTCAGGGAGCATATCATGTGGCCACTAAAAAATGTCAACTCCTCTTCTTTATTAATTAACAGGGTGATTTGTGTAATTGACCATTTATTTCATTTTACTGTAGTGTTTATACGGCTCATTTGATTTTTAAAATTTTGCATGATACAGTACACTACTATCAAGCATTCGACTGGTATTAGCTAAACTAAAAAATTCCAGGATTGGCTTTGGAAAAATTAATTTAGGGATTCGTATTAAATATTACACCTTGTATATATATATATATATATATATATATATATACATATATATATAATATATATATATATATTTAAATGCATTAAGTGATTTTCAAACTACATAAATAGCCAATGAAAACGACATATGTGACAATGTTGTCGCACTTTTATTAAATTTTTAGTGAACGATCAAATCTTACCAAAAATAGAACAACCATAATGAAGTATCAAATTATAAGGTAATTAATTTAAACAAATGGTATAAATTTCAAATATTTTAATTGAAATGATAAACTGAGTCACTGCACAACAAAAAACAGTAACTACTAACAATAACGAAGAACAATTTAAAAAAAAAACTAAAAATATGTACATAGTTATGATAAACCCATAAATTAGAACTGGAAACGGTACAATAATGGTAACAAAATAAAAATAATTCAAAATAGATTTTCGAAATGGAACCCTGCAGCCTGTACACATTTTTGTTGCCGAATTGTTAATTGACCTATTGAATTACGGATACTCTGGGGATCGTTTCTAATAGTATTACAACAATGTATAATTCTATTAATTAATTGTTGTCGGTTATTAATATTCACTGCGTAAACTAGTTGCTTCAATCGTCCCCAAATATGGTAATCAACGGGATTGAAATCAGGGGATCTTGAAGGCCACGAAATAGGACCTGCACGTCCTATCCACCTGTTGCCATAAAGATTATTGAGATGTTGTCTCACTGCCAGTAAAAAGTGTGGGGGTGCCCCATCATGCTGAAAATACATTCCTCGGATAGCAACGTTCGCGTTGGCAAGCAAATTCGGCAAAATATTTTGTAGAAAGTTCAAATAGACCTGCTCTGTTAAAAGACCATCAAAAAAGTGAGGACCTACTAATTGGTTATTTATGACACCAATCCACACGTTAACCGAAAACCTTAACTAGAACGACGTTCTTGAATAGCATGGGGATTTTCTTCTGCCCACACATGTGAATTTCGTGAATTATTTATCCCGTCTCTGGTAAATTGGGCTTCATCTGTAAATAGTGTCCTGTATAGCGTTGGTCGATTATTGTTAATCCATCTACAAAATTCCAACCTATCGATCTCATCTCCAGCATGTAGTCGCTGAACCATTTGAATGTGATATGGGTATAGATTATTTTTTTGTAAGACTCTACTTACTTTTGATTGAGTAACATTGAGTTCTCGACTTACTTGTCTAGTGCTTATTGTAGGGTTCATAGTAACGGCGTCCATAATGTCATCTTCCTGCGCTTCATCTACATGTCGCTCTGTTGTTCCACTAGGAAAAGTGCCATTTTCTCGTAAATAATTAAAAACTGACCCAAATGTTGGATGACTGGGAGTTCGACGATTAGGAATCTCCTGCGATATTCTCTACTAGCAGCCCTACCATTCCCATTACAGAATCCATAAACAAATATTATGTCGGCATATTCTGTGGTCGAAAACTGATGTGGCATTTTGAACGAAAGTAACAAAAGCTCTACCAAAACTAACACAATGTACTTAACGTAGATATGACAGAAGAAATATGTATTCTTGTACACATAAATAACAATTGATAATGCCAATAATGACAATGGGTATAAAATATCAAGAAACGTCAAACGGTCAACGCCAACCTTCATTTTAAACTTTTTTAGATTTATTTTTATTTAGTACAGTTGATGCAATGTATTATTATTTGACATAAAATTTTAATCATTAACAATCAACAAAAATTAACACATACAAGAGGTTTGACTTTTTATTCAATTTAATTTATTATTTATCGAAAATAATGCCCCAATACGATCTATGAGTAAAAAATTTAAAATTGAAAAACAATTCTATCGTAGAGATAATACAAAGTGACAGTAAAGATGTTAATTTTCTACGTATTAGATTATGTTGTAGGAACTCATTTTAATTAAAATGTTTGAAATTTATAACATTTGTTTAAATTAATACCTTATAATTTGATACTTCATTATGGTTGTTCTATATTTGGTAAGATTTGATCGTTCACTAAAAATTTAATAAAAGTGCGACAACATTGTCGCATATGTCGTTTTCATTGGCTATTTATGTAGTTTGAAAATCACTTATTGCATTTAAAAAAATATATATACAGGGTGTAATATTTAATACGAATCCCTTAATTAATTTTTCCAAAGCCAGTCCTGGAATTTTTTAGTTTAGCTAATACCAGTCGAATACTTGATAGTACTGTACTGTATCATGCAAAAATTAAAAAAAATCAAATGAGCCGTATAAACACTACAGTAAAATGAAATAAATGGTCAATTACACAAATCACCGTGTTGATTAATAAATAAGAGGAGTTGATATTTTTTAGTGGCCACATGATATGCTCTCTGAGGGACTCTACATATGGTAGATTTAGACACAAATATTAAGACTAAATGTATGTGTCTTTTTTACTTACACTTAAAACACTTTGAGCACTGGATCCATTGTTCGCCCGAAGTATCTTTAGAGAAGAGTCTAGTAGAAAACATACCTTCTGCTTCCTCTTCCCCAATGTTACACTCCATGTCAGAATCATCATCTAAAATGAATTCTTCATCTTCTTCAGATGAACTAAAAGCTTCCTCTTTCTTAGCACTTTTCTTTTTAACCTTGGTTGTCATTGTCTTCTTCTTAAAAGACTCACATTTGTCTATTTTTCTTTTCGTAATTCCCTTTGAAATACTTTTATTTCTCTTCTGTTCTGACAAACTACTTTCTAAGGTATCTTTGTATGGTGTACTCATAAGCAAGGCAGCAGATCATTTTCTGGACTTTCTTTCTTTAATACTAGACATGTAAAATGAAGTGGTGTGTAAAGGGCTAATATCTTGTCGCACTGTTGAATTTCTATTATTAGAAATGTTCTTACATGATAAATCTTCCACACATTTGGTCCCATTAATACTTCTTGGAGGTGTTACATGCTTCGGAGGAGTTACTTGGTTTTCTTGTTCAGCTTCTATTTTGTTTATTAATTCATTACGGTGCGGCGGTGCAGTCGCACACAGAAGACATCAAGATATTACGTCACCACGGTAGGCGGAGCAATCATACCCATGGATTAGCGACCAAGTTAGTTCGGCGCAATCGTGCCCTCAGCTGAACGTAAAAATCGACGCAATCGTTCCATACCCACACTATAGTACATTTGAAAATGTTTGATAGCACAAATTTTATAGCTTCTTCTTCTTCTTCTTTTTTTTATATCGACATGACTCTGTCTGTTTTTCAATGTGCCTCCAGTAAGTTGTCTTTCCATAGTTTTCGTGGACTTCCTACTGATCGTCTTCCCATTGGGGAACCGTCTCTTGCCGTCTTTACTACTCTATTTGTTATCATTCGGCTTATATACTCGTTCCATTCTACTCTTCTATTTCTTACCCAGTTTTTGATGTTCTCTCCCTTGCATCTATGTCGTATATCTGTACTTCTAGCTCTGTCCCATACTGTTTTACCATCAATTTTTTCATCTCTGCTGTTTCAAACATCCTTTTTGTCCTCTCTGTGTCAGGTCTTGTTTCTGCCGCGTATGTCATTATTGGTCTAATGACTGTTTTGTAAATTCTGCCTTTCGTTTCTTTCCCGATATTTTTATTTCTCCATATTGTTTGATTTAGGCAGCCTGCTTCTCTGTTTGCTCTATTCACTTGATCTTCCACTTCGGTTTCGAGCTTCCTTAGCTAGATAATGTGATGCCTAGATATTTGGACTCCATCACTTGTTCTATTATCTGACGTTCCAGCTCCAATTTACATCCTTAGTAAATTTTCTGTTGTAACCATGCATTTTGTCTTTGTTGGGGAAATTAACATGTTAAAATTTTTTGGCGGTTATATTAAATTGATGCAGCATACGTTGTAAATCATCTTCACTTTGAGGGAGTAGTATTGCGTCGTCTGCATAGCAGATTATTTTAAGTTATTTTTTTCCCATTTGGTATCTTTTTTTAAAGTAAGAACAAAAAGGAAATTTTATAGCAAAGGTCTAAATACAGGGTTGGTCAATGCAGAAAAACCGTAATAATTGATACCTTCTCATCTGAATTTTCACTCGATTTTAATATGACCACCCCGAAAAACTTCAAATACAATAAATACAATACAGTGAGAAATTCCTCACCTTGGCTAATTAAAGTTTATGGATTTAAATTAAAATTAAACTTAAAAAAAACCTAAAACATTTGTTTTATTTGTTTACTTCGTTTGAATTGATTGAATGAAATTCACTACGAATATTGGCCATGATGAATGGCATTCATTTGGAATTTGGAATGCAATTTTAGATTTCCTTGCCGATTTATTCATCAAGCTGTTTGCTTTGCAAGTTTTAGAAAGCACGGTGGCTGATATTTGAATTCGATTTCGCCAGGTAGAAATCGTATGATTTCTCTTTTTAAACTTAAAAAATTCATGCATTAGTCTTTTAATAAGTTTTATTTAAAAAGCTTAGGAGATATGGTCAGGCGCCTTAAGTTTTTTTGTGTCACTCCGGCGCTGCGTGAGTGAGTGTAATGAATATAAACATGGCTTCTTTGATTACTATTCCATGACGTAATCTGAGGATAATCTGTAAGTAATCTATGTATCTATTAACTACAGTTTGTTGTATTTTAGGTACTGTGCCAAATTTAAAAGCTCTGCAAGTTTCTGATAATCCCTTAATATATCCAAAGAGGCCTATTATAGTATCTGGTACAAAGACCATAAAAAACTTTCTAAAAGCACAATATGAAAACGAACAAGCCAAAAAGCAGATAGAAGATGATGATACAGATGATACAGATAAAAATACTAGATCGGACAGTTCCATAACTAATGAAGAAGAATTTAAGAGAAACGAACAACTGATAAAGGTATTTTAGAGTGCTTCAACTTCAAGAATGCGCACTTAAGGTTTAATCAAGTGTAAAATCCAAACCAATTGCGTTAAAAGTATACTTATTTTTATTTAAGCCTATTGATACATAAACAGCAGAATCAATTTTAATTTGCGAACTAAACATTATTAGTTTAATAGAAAAAGTGAAACTACAAAAAATTGCTTTTGTGCACTCTTATAAACTCGTTTTTTAAAAGTACGCATTTAGGATTGTAAGATTGCGCACGTAATTTTCTTACCATAGGTCACATTTATAAGACCCAAAACCTGCGTAGGCACTGCACTTTTCATGTCGCCATTCAGCACATGATATGCAGTTAATCCAGTCTTCTGTGATAGGTTCTTTAAATGTTTCGTTGCAGCCTGGACAGCCCCAAATTTTCTTGAGGCATTGTTTTTGGCTTTGTGAAAACAGATTTTGCTGTTTTTTTTATCTTCTCTGCCGATCTGAGGTTCACAACTGATTTCTTTTTTAAACTTCCTCCCAGAAGCGATTGCGGTGGTGGTAGGTTATCGCCAACATCCAGTTTGAGTTTGTATTGCGGCTTTTTTTTCTCATTTTCTTCAATTGGTTTGTTCTCATAAATGTAGAGCTGGTGATAATTTCCGACTTTTTGCTTCTGCGATTTCTGGATCTAACCACAATTGATGCAGGTAACGAAGAAATGGTTGTTAATTTAATATAACTTGATGATGTTCCAGGGGTGTTTGATAAACCAAATGTTTTTGTTTCTGGAGCTATACCAACTTTTTCTTCCGAAGTTATTGCAGATATGTTGGAAACCAGATCTGTAAGCTGAGGGGTATTGTTTTTGATCTGTAAAATTCTTCTCGTACAATCGAGTTCAGATTTAGGTATTCGCTAATTATGGCATCTCTGTGATTATCATGAATATTTTCCTTAGTAGTGGAATTCTCAAGAACAATAGTTGGACTGTCAAGAACATCGGGACTATTTTCAGAGGCTGATTCAGATATTTGATGTGGTTGAAAATCGATTTCAGACGTAAAGTTTTTAGCGACTCGTGATTGTACGTTAAACGCTTCTAGTTCCGTAGTTATTGCAGCTGTAGCGGGTTCTTCTCGATCTGTGACAAAAGTGGTCATGAAGTCAGCGTCAGTAAATATGTCATTATTATCCTTGTCACTTTAAAACCTTCGCATTCGTTATAGCAGCAGCTTTAAAGTATGAAGGAGAAAATATTGAAGCAATTTTGTAAATCGTAATTACCCGCTCTGGATGGTTCGTCCGCCATTTTTCACATTCGTTGAAATAAAATCTTTTTAGCGGGATAAAAAAACATCTGTCAAGTGGCTGCATACAGTGACTACTATAAGGACTAAGTGTTAATGCGATAATGCTATATTGTCGAAAAAAACCAATTGCTGCAATGGAACAATGGGAAGTGTGATTATCCATTATCGATAGGACTGATTGTTCCTTTGTCGGCTTATCGAGATATCTAAAATGTGTAACACAATCAACAAACAGGTCCTGATTGATGAAACTACTGTCGGATACCATTCCAACTGATGATGGTGCTGAATCCAAAATGTCTGTCTTCATTCTTTACGTGGATATATAAATGCGGGAGGAATATAGTGCATACAACAGTAACATTGGTTCCCCGTTCTGCGCTAGATATTTTATTGATACACCTTTCTCCTTTTGTAGAGAAAACTTTAGGAGGCCTGTTTGGGACAGTGAAAAATCTGGATTCATCCATATTGTAAATTGCATGTGCAGGGAATTTATATGTATTCATAAACTTCGAGAGATTTTCATAAAACCGCTTACACTGTGGTTCATTAAACCCAATAGCCCTGGTTACACTAGTAGCGGTGGGTTGCCTCAAACTAACATCTTTGTGTCATTTCAAAAATTCACGTAGCCCGCCCTTGCCTGCCATTTTTGAAGTTCTATCAAATCAATGTTCTAATTTATTTATTTCAGCAAACTCAAACTATAGACTTCTAGATCTCTAGAAGTTAACCCATAAAACATGTTGTCTATTGTTTTTATATAGTTGCACAACTCTTCTTCCATTTTGCTGTTAAAGTAATGTCGTATCTTCGCAGCATTGTAGCTAAAATTGTTCTTTTTAGCCTTTTTCTTAACGTACTTTCCGCAATTCCTATAGATTTTTCCACGCTTCTCTTAATTTCTTCATTTCCAACCCTTTTTCTTGCTGTCTTTATAACCACCGGTGAGCATAAAGCACGCTGAGAAGTTCATTTTCTGCCAGACATGCTTAAACAAAAGAAAAAAATATGATTAATCCATTATACAAAAAAATCCTGGTTTATAAGAGTGCGCGCGTACTCTTACAATATTAATGACTGCGCCACTCTTAGAAAACTAGCATGTTTTAACAAATGCTAGTGCTGCCTCCGTCTTGGTGCAAAATTGTAAACAACGGTATGATACATACGATTATTTAAAGTTTATTGCAAGTATGGTAAAATATTACCGCGAAATTCTTACAAACTGCTATTGTGTACAATATCAAAAGTTTCAAAATATAATAAGAAAATGGATAAAACTAATTATAAAGTTACCTAATAACGTCATTATCGGTGTATATTTGCCTAAAATACTCAAGACACATACAAACACTTCGCTTAATCGGTACGATTTGGTACGATCGGTGCGATCGATCGGTACGATCGGTACGATCGATCGGTACGATAAAACTTTGTCCCTGTCGATGACGCACTCCGAAAACCGACGAGTGCGCACTCTTATTGACCGCGCACTCTTAAAGCACTCTACCCTATACGATTTTTTAATTAAAGAGTCTAATTCATTCAATCATATTGAGATCATCATTCTAATGACTAAAAGAGCTATCTGCAAACTATAGTGTGTAAGACTAAAAAGACGAAAGTTAAAAGGTTTAAAAGTAAGATTCCAATAAGAGTGAAAATAGTACATAATTGACGAATTATAACAAGTGAGTAATTTTAATTATTATACCTAATGTGTTAAATTACGATGTCAAAGTTTCGAGAAATGTATAGAGACATTGATCAATTAATAGATTTTAGTATATATACATAGCAATTCACAGAACATCGAAATCAAGAAAAAACACAATACAATGTTATAACTCATAAAAGAAAATGTTTACACTTGCTCTACTTTATGGATGTGAAAGTTGGGAAATGATGCTAGATGGGCCGGCCGGCGGCCTCTTCGGCCAGAGGCAAGACGCAGACGGTCAAAGTCCAATTCCGACGTCACTGTCGGTAAGCATTGAATCTGCATTATCAACCAGCATAAACCTTAGCCAAGACCGGAACCAATATGTCCGCCGTCATGACGTCGAAGGAATCTGCATTACAGACTGTCATAGTTTACCTTTTATTATTTCTCCATCTACATATACACTATCTTCACGACATTTCAAAGAAGCTATTAGTATGAGAGGGTCTTTGGAAAAGTTCTGGGTCGAAGCTGCCCCCTTAAGGCCGACCCGTTCTAGTTTTCCTGATGGTGAGTTTCTTGATTTGCGTCGTACCTAGGATGCTTACAGAAACTTCGTTCGTGTCCTATTTCGCCACAATTCCAGCATCTTATGGTCTTCGTTTTCTTGTATGTCATGCTTTTCATCATATTAACGAGCTGGTCAAGTTTATCTTCATCTCTTTCCTCTTTTACAGTCCTAACTTTGCTATACCCGCCAGAGGCCTGCGTAGCTGACTCGTATTCGAGGGCGGCAGATAAGGACATCAATCAGCGTCTTGTGATGAGCTAATCGTAGTGTTCTCTGCATTTCATCATCACGAAGACCATCAATAAACGTTTGAACGACCAACTTTTCCATCATGTCTTCGGGAGCTGTTGGATAAGCATATCGTACTAATCTGGCAATATCTACCTCATATTCTTGAAGGGCCTCATCTTTCTTTTGTCTTCGATTTTTAAGCTGCGACTGATATATATGCTCCAAATGTTCGTGGCCATGTCGCATATTTAACCTCTTCTTAAGTTGTTCAAAATCATCCGTCTCCTCTACGGCTATGGTCTGAAGCACATCTAAAGCATCTCCTCGAAGAGAGATAGTCAGGTTTACAGCCTTTTCTGTTTCAGACTATCCATTCGCTCTTGCAGCTGATTCGAACTGTTTCATGTAGTTGTTCCATGATGATTTTCCGTCGAAACTTGGGAGCTTGACATGAACAGAACCTCCACTCATTTCAAATTTCGGCCGTGTTTTCAACTTACATTTCGTCTCGTCTTCTTTTATCTCTACTGTAATTGGATTGTTTCCTCTGTCTGCTGTCCCTGTTTCCTCAATCTTCCTTTCCATTGCCTTCATATTTTCTTCGAAGGCCAACATATCGGCAGCAACTTGGTTTTTTAACGAAGACACTCGAGAGCGGACATCTCAGAAGTGACTTTAGAGATTTCCAAGGAGATGTTAGCAGAAAGTTTGCTTTCTAGAGAAGAAATCTCGTTAGAAACTTTGTATTCTAATGATGCGATGTCGCCGGAAACTTTCGAAATCGACGAGATGACAGCATCTTCAAATATATAAGTTTCCGGATCTAAACCCTCTTCTTCCAAAGCCTTCTTTAGTTGTTGGACTAATTCAGCCTTTTTTTCCGGTAGAAGCTAATTCTCTGTCCTCAAGATGCCTTCTTAAATTCGTAACTGTGAGCTCGTAAATCGTAGCCTTGTTCACCAATTTATTTAAAATCCCGCTTTTTATTTAAAGTATCTCACTTCTGCACCACTTGTTATATTTTTATTATAGTTCTAATTTATTGTCTTTATTCTAATTTATTAAAACTCACGATAATTTATCAAAAGTCTTTATTTCCTACTAATTTATTTTACACTTAAATAATTTATACGTTCGTTACATTTATATATATATATATATATATATATATATATATATAATATATATATATATATATATATATATATATATATATATACTAAATGCCGTCGCATAGGATCTTTCGTGAAGTAGGCAGAAGTTGACCTGAATAGTCTAGAAAAGTCTGGGGATGCACCGATGACGTTACATCCAGTAGGTGACTCATCCAGCAGGTCTCGAACTGTTTTTTTTTTATAGCGGCCTGTTTCCAGAAAGATCGACCGCTTTCATATCGGAAGGGAACACATCGTGTCAGGTATATGTCTGCCGGCTGATCGAAAGGTCTCGTCCATTCTACAACATATTTAGTAAATAAACAACATGTTTACAGGTTTATTTTAATATGACTAATTTTTACGTAACAATACTTTAGCCATGGAATTAACATATTGTCATGTCTACAATAAGTACAAAAAGAAGAAGAAAGAATATTTGTTTATAGCAATGCTATTGTCCAACCTCAAGTACATTTTCCAAAATATATTGCAGATCTAGTATTTTTTATTTTCCTTTAAGGTAACAGAAATAGGGAGTTATAATGATACAGATACATTCGTTAAACCAAGTCAAGGATCTAACAGACCATCTAGCAAAAATTCAACAGTTAGGACAATCAGAAAAAAAATATCAGATGACCAAGCTTTTAATCCAGACCTAAAAATAAAACAGTTGCTCTCACCGGAATTAGTGAAATGTAAGAGGGATACAGATAAAACAAAAATAATACATAAAGTAAGTAGAACTGGATCAAAATTGTTCTTAAAATCTTACTTTAATAAACCACTATGCGGAGGCGACGGGAAGAAATTTAACAACTTAAAAGAAGGATGGTTAAATGAATTAAGAATATTATTAACAGATCAAGAACGAATATTGCAACAAGAAAAGTAAGTCAATTTCTTATATTCTTAAATTAAGATATTCTCATATTTTTAAGGAGTATCTTATATATTTCTTTCTTTTGGTTTGTAACTTACTATTTCTTTTTTTACCTGTGGGTAAGAACAATCCTGACATCTGTCAGATTCGTCAATAATTATATGAAATAATTCTCGAAACATTCAATACATTATACGACGTCACAATTAATGACGCACTGAAAGAAGACTCTGAGAAGAATCATATATGTAATTTTCCCAGCATAATTCCTTGCAGACGTTTTTCATCTCTTAGTCGTTGTTCCAAGTTGCAATTTGTTTAATATAGGATACACGTTTAAATATATATATATATATATATATATATATATATATATATATATATATATATATATTATTGTGATATTTCAAGTCTTGGTGCGCCAAGCAATTAATTAGCTAATTAATTAATTAATTAATTAAAATTATTTAAATGATATGATTATGACTCTATCACACTTTTTAATTCTCTTATCTCAGGGTTAAATTCGTGCTTCAATATCTATGCTATTACATGTGAAAGGTAAGGTCCAAAGAATACCGGAATAATAAAAAACACATATGATATAACACTATATATTGAAATAAAAATAATGAAATAATTCACACTCAAATGTTTTCAATAAACAAAATCTCATATAATGATTCTCAAAATTTTGTTCTACGTACGTGAACCTTCAAAATTAATGGTACAAACAATATTAATTGAAATCTCAAAATCCCAAATTATTCTAACTCTCCTAATCAAAATATTTATATCCTTTCTAAATTAAGTGTAAAAATTGTGTTATCAATAAAAGAAAAACTGCAGAAAACAAAAATATCTCTCTCTGATGATGAGTGGTCCAAATCCTTGTTCCTTGTAGACTATATTATCTACTCTCAGGCGCTCCCTAGGTAATCAGCAATCTTACAACAAATTGTTGCAAGTATATCGTCCTTAATGATCTCCTTCAAAAGCACGAATTATTCAAATTATGATAGCCTTTCTCCTCTCGATAAACTGAATCTCTCGTTGGCCAGAGTGAAAAATGACTCTTGGAATATCTTCTCTTTACGATAAACTGAATCTCTCGTTGGCCTGAACAGTGACTCTTGGAATATAAGTAGAAAAATATGACTTACAATATTTTGCTGCTTCAGCTTCTGTCAGATACACTAACTCCACAAAAACTCACTAACATTCAACACTACTGCTTGCTACCTCTCGGGAACCGCCAGAGAACAATCACTGTTCGTCTTACAGACTTGGAAAACCAACTGACTATCTTTTCTCTCTCAAAAATCTAGCTAAACTTTCATTCCTACATACCCATCCCACCTTTTTTAATCTCCGCCAATCAAAGCTCGTCACAATTCTCCCATTTTTTCATTTCGATAACAAACAAATTTTTACCTATAATTATAAAATTTCCTAAAACTTATTTACAAATAATATTTTTCTACAATTCTTAAAAACTAACAAAAACCTCTTTCTAAAATCTATTCTATTGTCCTTAATCACTGCATTAATGTATTTGGAAAACCCGGTTCAATTGTCTTTGGATTTCACTTAAAATTATGCGGGTCACTCAAGTATATTATAACAAAGAAAATAATTTATGCATAGCTTACATTTTGTTTAATACAGGTAATCCAAAAATTTAAAGACTTTCCTTCTTCGAAATGTTTGTTGGTTATTATCCTACTTATCTAAATTATTTTAATGTTTTTGAACTTTGAAATATTTTAAACAAACCGATATTTTCTTGATTTTACATATCATAACAATATATATATAATATATATATATATATATATATATATATATATATATATATATATATATATATATATATATATATATATATATATATATACAGATTGAACCAAATTAAAACGGAACATACAATTTAATACATGTGTGTTTGAACTGCATTTGAAATAGTGGACCAATATAAAACTCGGACAAAAATAAATCCATACCTAGGTATAGACATTGTATAAAATATCGTTCAACTATCTGTCTCACAACAATGTTGTTTGCATAAGACGGGTTTGTCTAAGGAAACGATTATAGTTCAGGAAATAAAGCTCGAAAATAGTTAAAACCTCGCAATTTTTTCGTCCTGCATGTATCCATTTGAAATTTTAACAAAAGGTAGGTGATAGCCCAAGGATCAAAATCTATATCGAACCGAAGTGCGCTGAAGGGTTTTAGGGGTGAAAACTACCCCTAATTGTCAAAAATTATAAAATAACATATTAAACCTGAATATGGGTAAGATTTGGTTTGAATTAGTTAAATAATGATTATTTTATACTTTTGAATAGAGCTCCATGATATTTCAACCCTTAAAAAGCAACCCTTGTTAGAGATTAATGTAAAAAAATTACCAATTATAAAAAAATGATTTCGCCTTGGATCGATTTGGATAAAAATTTGGATTTAAGCTCAATTCACCCGCTGCTTTATAGTTTATGTCATGTCGACGAACCCTGATTGTTCTAAGGGGTGAAAACTACCCGTAATTGTCAAAAATTATAAAATAACATATTAAACCTGAATATGGGTAAAATTTGGTTTGAATTAATTAAATAATGATAGTTTCGTGCTTTTGAATAAAGTTCCATCATATTTCAACCCTTAAAAAGCACCCTTATTAGAGATTAATATAAAAAAATTAGTAATGCGAGAAAATGATTTCACCTTGTAACGATTTGCATAAAAATTTGGAATTAAGCTCAACTCACCCTCTGCTTTATAGTTTATGTCATGCCGATGAACCCTGATTGTTCTTAGGGGTATAAACTACTTCTAATTTTCAAAAATTGTAAAATAATATTATAAATCTTAAGATGAGTGAAATTTGGTTTGGATTAATTAAATAGTGATTTTTTTATACTTTAAAATACAAATTCATACATTTTCAACCCTTAAAAATCAATTGTTATGAGTGCTATAGGTGAAAACAATTTTTTGCCAAAATTTTGCAACTTTTCAACTTTTGAAAATCACTCTTTACAACATTGCAGTTTTTATAAACTAATTTATAAGATATAAATTGAAAAAAGTAGAATTAAATACAAAAAAATTTATCAACATAAAAAGGCACCATATATTCTTATACATTTACATAAATAGTTGAAAATATTTACATTTATAGGTAAAACAATTGTAATATTAATTTTATTCGTGATCAATTACATCTTCATCGTGATCTATGTCATCCTCATCTTCAATTATTGGTGGACTATTATTGCACCCTTCACCTGAGCACCCAGAACAAGTAGAGTTACAGTATAAACCAACTTTTCTGCACCCACATGAAACACCGCATCCTTTTTTGCATTGCCAAAAAATAATTTTCAAAAGTTCATCGAGTGCAGGTTGTTTGTTCATGCGTACGGGTAATAACAAACCATCTTTGGAATACCATCCGCAAACTGTTGCTCTAATATTTTCATTGCCAAGCCATAGACATATGAGCAGATGTTTTATTCTGTTGTATGGGATTTCAAAATAAGAACGCTAAAAATTTCGAATGTATAACGCCCCACTAGCTAATATACCGGTTTTGTAGATTACTATGCTCCGAAATGTACTGTACTATACTAATAAAATTTTCCGGAAAAAAATTCACTGGTTTTTTTTAACGTATTTCCTTTAATTTTTAACGATAGAGTGTTTCTTCAAAAACGATTTGTAGAGGTTTTTAAGAGCTACAAGAATCTGTGAATTAAATCTTTTTGGAACCCTTGGTTTTTAAATGGGGTGAGTTTAAAGGGATCGAAAAAGATGGTGCTTGATCGTAAATCGATGCTTTAAACGGCTATATCTTGCCAAATATTCATTGTACAACAAATCTAAATGAAGGATAATTTTAGTCATTAAAAAAGCTACAATTTGGTAATTTGTATTTTTTTTATATATTGAGTATTTTCGGGCATATTTAAAAAAAGAAGGGTAAAAAATATGAAATTGTAAATCGTTTCTCGCTTTAAGCTGTACTTTTTATAACACAAAGCATTTTAAATGGGTCAAACTTCTTGGACATATTAACAATACATGTACAAAGGGAATTTCAGAAGGGTGAAGATCGATTTTAATTATGGGGTTGGTTAGGGGGTTGTTTTCATCGATTTTTTCGTAAAAAATGAGGTATTGACCTTATTTTCATCATAACTCACTCAATTTTTCAGCTAGAGTCTTTTTTATGATAGGTCTATTTATGCTCTTTAAAAAAGGTTTTGTGAGTTTTCTTCCAAAAATGCATCATTTTCCCGATATTTGATTTTGAATCTTTCAAATTTGGCATTTGAAGAAAACCGCTGAACATTAATAGGCCGTATTTCGGTTCCTGTTATATCCCAAAAACATTTTAAAAAATGAATTGTATTTGTCTTTTTAAAAGCTACAAATTTGTTCTCTACAATTTTTTTGATAAAATGCACCATTTTCGAATTATTCGCGAAAAATCGATTAAAAACGTGGATTTTTTCGTCCAAAAATTATTACTTTCAATCGCGAATAACTTGAAAAATATCATTTTATAAAAAAAATGTATAGCACATTTTTTGTTTAGAATCACTTTTTTAATCGAAACCTGTAGTTAAAACGTAAAAAAAAATTTCACCCCGAAGATGGGGTGGCAACCACCCCCTAGGCTTTGGCGCACTTTGGTTCGATATAGATTTTGATCCTTAGGCTATTACCTACCCTCTGTTAAATTTCAAGTCAATTCAGGGAGCACGAAATAATTGCGAGGTGAAATGCTTCATTGCTATAACTGGTTTGACAGCATAAATCGTAGATTTATGTGTAGCTTTCAATTTTTATGAGTTCAGAATCCAGCAGCCCACTGAAGTATTGGATTTTTATAATATAAATATTTGACAATATTTTGTTGGCCAACCACCTACAGCAGAATTGAGCCGAAATACATTATATTCCTATGTTCCGAATTTATTTCGTTCAATCTGTATATATATATTATATATATATATATATATATATATATATATATATATATATAAATGTGTATATTGACGTTTTTTAATTATATATGAGGTTGAATGAATTTCGCCTGTTTGTTTGTTCTAGACTGGTTAATGCGAGGAATTGCTGTTATAATACCAATTTCTTTCATTGGTTTGTCTCTTACAAGCGGGTTGTCATCCAAACTCATTTAAACTTTTAAATAGACCGCCCAATTATTTGGGGTGGTACTTCTACCTTGTTCTGTCAAATTTTTGACCTCAAGGTTGGCTGTCTTTTCATGGTTTAGTTCCGTCTGTTTCAATTAACTCCATTTTCCCGGCGGCAGCTGTAAGGCTTTGATCGCTAACTTCATTTACACTACTTTTTAAAATAATTTTTTATTAAAATCACTTTAATAATGCTACCTAAAGTTAAAATCAAAGCTAAATAATTATCAAAAAGTTGGAAGTGAATCTATGATTTTCTTGGTTCTTTTTCACTGCTTAATATAAAATAAAATATTACTTATACTTTGGACCACATGTTCTGTTGCTGTGCTAATTTTTTAATAAGTTGCTAAATGTTGTTAGTTAATTGATTGTTTATACAATAATACCGTATAACGTCCATTTACTTGAGTTTTACTCACAAATCTGTTAATATCATTGACTGCTGCATGTCTTTTTAAGTTAACACTTATAACATCTTCTCTATGATTGTCTGGTTCTCATATTGTGCTTTTTAGATGAACTGATGATGCTTTCAGAATACGAAAGCGAAACGTCTTTAAAATAGATAAAGTAGCATATCAACTTTGTCTTTTATTTCTCCACCTTAAGACCGATATAAGAACCCACCACTCGTCTGAGTGATCCTTAATATATATATATATATATATAATATATATATATATATATATATATATTATATATATATATATATATATATATACGTATATACATCAACATTTATTTACATTTTATATTTTTAATCTAATTAGAAACCTTAGAACTATCTCCAGCTGGAGGATGAAGAAAAAGTCAGAAAGCGAAATGTATCCGAAATTTTCTAGTGAAGACCACGCGAAACCACCATACGATATAGACGAAAGGTATTCCAAAATGCCGTCTAGAGAGGATCTGGCTAAACAATTTAGCGAGTTTAAAGAAAAAGGTTATGTAAGAAGCGAACCAACTACTTACTCGACAATAAATGTTCAGAAGATGATTAATAGTTTGATGGAGCAATTGAAGAACATGCAAATTTCATATGATCCTCTTTCCCCTGGTGCTGAAGCTGAAAAAGCCGAGATGCAAATAAGAACTGTAAGTAGGAATTCATATATAGGATTTTAGTTTTGTTCTTGCTTCCAGTTTTTGTCGCATATGTCATTATTAGTCTGATGGCTGTTTTGTAAATTCTGCCTTTTGTTTATTTCCGGATATTTTTATTTCTCTATATTGTTTCATTTAGGCAACCTGCGGCTCTGTTTGCTCTATTCACTTGATCTTCCACTTCAGTTATAAGGTTCGAAAGTTTAGATTGTAATAGATAATAGATTTAAAATATTAGTGAAAATTATTAAATGATGTATAAATAGACAATATTTCGTTTCAAAATTCGGAGAAAAACCATTTTAAGATTGTTTTTTAACGAGGGGGTTATAAAATAAAGTGATTAACTATAGTTAGTTATACAACAAGTACTTATTTACAGCTAGATGCTTAAAAAATTAAAATACAACTTTTTACAGTAAAAATGTTACAACTTATTACATATAATGTCCTTCAGACTTCGATCGAAGCGGTAGTATTTATACACTCAGCAAATTAAAATTTAATTGATTTTAAATGTGTTTTTAAAAAACCAAAGAAATAATTTATTGTGATTGTGTTTTTGAATATTCAAGTAAGTGATAACGACAAATTTGCTGTTTATTTATCAATCCAATAATTATAATTCATATCCAAAACTAGCACAAAGTTAATCATGCCTAATACATCGATTTGCGCTAATTGTTCAAAGCTAACTTCTATCTCCGATAGAAAGCTCCAGTGTGATGGCTGTAAGAAACCAATACACATTACTTGTACGGATCTGTCGGTCGATGCAACTTATCGGGAAAATGCTTTAGAAGTTGCTGTAGAGCCGTGGGCATGCAAACATTTAAGTTGTAGACTATGAACGTTCCAACAAGACTCGGCACCGTCTCATAAAGCTAGTGTGAACACAAGAATACTACAAGAATAGTACAAGAGAACTACAAGAATAGTTAAAAACCATGTTCCACACTTCATTTTATCCACACAATGGCTTTTGAATTCATCAGATGCAAATCCGATGAACTATTTCATCTGGTCCATTTTGGAGAGGAAGATAACAGTTCAATTGCCTAACCCTGTACTATATTTTTCATGCTATTTTGATGCAATTTATCGTTAAAGTTCATGTTGCCAATAAAGCAAAATTTATAGTTTAGAATAATACTTGACCTTATTGTGTAAGTGTAAATGTATCTTCTTCTTCATGTACCATGTCCTTTCAGAACGTTGGTTACCATCATAGCTATTTTAATTTTATTCACTGCCACCCTAAATAGCATGCTTGTATCTACACCATACCAGTCTCACAAGTTCTTCAACCATGAGGTTCTTCTTCGTCCTGGACTGCGTTTGCCTGCTATTTTTCCTTGCATGATGTTTTGTAGCAATCTATATTTGGGACCTCTCATTACATGTCCGAAATATTCCAGCTTTCTCTGCTTGATGCTTTTTATGATCTCAGTAGTCTTGCTGAGATGTTCTAGTATTGTGGAGTTACGAATCTTCTCCACCCAGGAAACTTTCAAAATTCTTCTATAGCACCACATTTCGAAAGCCTCAAGGCGATTTAGATCGATTTTATTCACAGTCCAGGACTCGACAGCATAAAGTAAGACCGAGAACACGTAGCAGCGAAGTAGGCGGATCCTTAATGCCAATTTTAGGTCTCTGTTACATAACACCTTGGATATCCTTCTAAAAGCAGCTCTAGCCTGCTCTATTCTGGATCTAATTTCGCCGTGATTTTCTGCATTACAATTTAATTGCTGTCCAAGGTAGACGATTTTATCAACTTGCTCAAGTTTGATATTATTTACACATATAGACGGTTTTATATTCTGTTGTTTACTTATTACGAGTATTTTGGTTTTCCTTATGTTAAGATCCAGACCTGCCTCCCTACAACTCTCAACGACACTATCAAGTAGTGTTTGCAGATCTTCTTGACTAGAAGCTAGGAGTACTGTATCGTCCGCATATCGCAAATTATTGATGACTTCGCCGTTCACAAGTATTCCTTCTTGTTTTTCAGAAAGTGCTTTTCTGAAAATTCTTTCGGAGTAAACGTTAAAAAGCAGGGGTGACAAGAGGCATCCCTGCCGTACTCCTCTTTTAATATTGAGAGCTTGTGATTCCACACCATCTACTAAAACTGATGTTGTTTGATTCCAATATAAATTTGCAATTATTCGAACATCTCTGCCGTCCAAGCCAATGTCTTTTAGAGCTTCGATCAATATAGAGTGCTTAACACGATCAAATGCCTTTTAAAAGTCAATAAAACAACAGTATATGTCTACAGATATATCACGACATCTTTGAGCAAGTACGTTCATTCCAAACAGTGTCTCTCTCGTTCCAAATCCGTTACGGAAACCAAACTGAGTGTCATTCAGGTATTCCTCACATTTATTGTAGATACGACCATGTATTATCTTCAGAAAAATTTTCAATAAGTGGTTTAACAAACTGATGGTTCTATAATCAGCACAGGTTTTTGCTGTTGTCTTCTTAGGTAGAGCTATAAACAGTGAGTTAGACCAACCATTAGGTAGTTGTCCGCTGGTATAAATGGTATTGAAAAACGAAGTTATAGCCTCTAAAACATTGCTATCCTTTATAAGCTTATATATATATTATATAAATGTAAATGTGTAAATGTATGGTAAATGTTAATTATAGGATGGTATAATTTGTAATTTATAAAATCAGTAATTGTATTTAAATTAGATCAAATTTTAATATCCGATAATATTACACTGAATTTTTACACCTCCACTGTCTCTCCGTCTCCAGTTTCCATTATTTCTATTTAAGCTTAGATTAAAGAAAGAAGAAAAGAAAGATGGTTTCTTTAATATAAGTATTTAAGCGACCACAGACTGTGGACAGCGATGGAGGAACTTGGCTTTCCAAAAAAACTAGTCAGGTTGATACGGATGTGTATGGAACGGTTACGATGTAAAATGAGAGTTGGACTTTTATCACAACTCTTCAACTTAGCTCTGGAGCATATAATCAGAAGTGCAAGAATCGAAAAACCCAGTATTTCATCGAGAAGGACCAAACTTACTACTGGCATTTGCAGACAATATCGACCTAATAGGAAACACACGATTAAGGATGAAGCAGACTTTCATGAGGTTCGAGAAGGAAGCAGAGAAAATGGGGCTCCAAATCAACGAAAACAAAACGAACTATATGTATATGAGCCGCAATAACCAAAGCAGAGACAGAATCGGTCAGAACATCACCATCGATGACTTTAACTTTGAGCGCATTAGAGAATTCAAGTATATTGGAACAACAATAACTGCAGACAATAACGCAGATGTCTTTTTGCCCTCCAAAACCTTATAAAATCGAAACAACTAACACGACGTACGAAGATACAGGTCTATAAAACAATCATACGACCCGTTGTGATGTATGAAAGCGAAACATGGACGATAACAAAGGCAAACGAAGAGAGACTATGTGTTTGGGAAAGAAAAATCCTAAGGAAAATCTTTTGTCTTGTGCTGGATGAAGCATCAGGACAATATAGGATAAGAACTAACAAAGAGCTCGAAGAACTTTACCCAGACGCCAACATCATAAAAGAAATAAAGTCCAGAAGACTCCAATGGGCAGGACACCTCAGAAGACATTATGACGAACGAACAGTAAGACTGGTGTGGGAGGAAGTCCCAACTGGAAGGAGACCACGCGGACGCCCTCGTCTCCAGTGGCGAGATAATATAGCAGAAGACCTAAGCACTATGAGCGAGAATTGGATGGAGGTTGCTCAAAACAGAAAACCCACGAAGGGTTGTAACGCCACGAAGTAAGTAAGTAAGATAATATTAGACCGAATTTTTTACAGCTCCACTGTCTCTCCGTCTCCAGTTTCCATTATTTCTATTTGAGCCACCATCCGCTACTAAGTTTCCTGTCATCATACCGTCATTAACTTTATCTCGCCAACTTCGTCGTTATCATTTACCACTGGCAGAGTTTCAGAGATCTTTTTCACCAAATAAATAAAGTATTTGTTATTTACCTATACCCCGACTTAAATGAATTTCATTAAAAATGAGTGCCACCCTTCTTGTACACTTGCCATTCTCCTTTCTCCCCATAAATAACACCTAAATTCTTTTTTGAAGAGATTAAACCATTTTAAAACTTTTTTCACTTATTAGAGTCACTGAATACCCAAAAAAAATAAAATTAAATTAAAAGTACTTTAGATCATTAAAAGTTTATGCTAAAAAACGCTATTTTACAATATTTTCGAAGAAGTAGCAAAAAAGAAAGACTATATCGGAATGTGGAAAAAGCAACATTTAATTGCCGCTAATTATTTACCATCAATAATTTTTTATAATAATAACTATAAAACTATTAATCCCATTGCAATTACTTTCTAATTACTCCTTAAACTTTTATACGCGATTTTTTGGGATTTTCTGAGTACTTGATACCCTTTCGGTTTAAAATTGTGAGGGTAAAAGTTACCCTTTCAGGGGGTGGAATCTTGAGGACTAAAAATATTTACTAAAAGTCTCTTTCTTAAAAACAAAATTGGCCTATCTGATTTTTTAGGAAATATTTACGAGAATGAGATATTAACGGTGAAAAGTTTTAAAATTGTATATTACACATGACCCTCAATAGCTTGATCGTTATAACATAAACGGTTAGCAGCAAGCTTAATGTTTTGTTATTTTGCAAAATCATTTATGGATTTATAAACCTATATACTAATATTTTACATTATCACCGTAGAACTAAACTTATCTTTTCTTTTAGATTATGGAAATTCAGAAGAAATTAATGAACCTGAAATCAATCAACGAAAAAACGTTATAGTATAAAGTCACACTATTTATTTTTAAAAATCTTTTCTTCAATAAATTTAATATTAGCAGTTATTCCTTCTACAATATTATTTTGAATATCAACTTATCAGTTTGCTTACATTTAATAAAACTTGTAAATAAATAGTAAATACCAAAAACTAATTGTTAACTTTGTGCAACACACGTTTTATATATGCATTGAAGGCTATATGCTAAACCACCAACGTGTTCAGATGTCTTAAATATTAATATTTATATTAATAATGATATTAAAACAAAAGCTCTACTGGCTGAAGGTACTGCTGTGGAATATCAGCTGGCGCTCACCCAAGCCGGAAAAACGAGACAGCTTGTAAAATTTACTGTGTCCATAAACGAAAACATTTTGCGTTTCTATTACAAGGTGATAAAGCTCAATCAAGTAACGATCGGTGATCGACAACATCGTATGCCAAATTTTGCAGAAAAATCAAGTATCTGAACAACAAATAGCAGATTAATACTGGGTAATTATACGAAAAAATCTTATCCCAGAGACTAGGCGTGGTAAGCTAAGTCGAAAGGTATGGTAGTGACAGTAACATAGATAAATAATATAATACCACAGTTTAACCACAAATAATAATGTTTGTTTCAAGTTAAGAAAATAACATTACGCTTATGGAGATCAGTGTTGCCAAAACTCTCAGACACTCTCTTTTGCACGGATGTCCAAGATATTCCCTTAGCTTAATTTTTGAATTTTTATTTTCAATAAACATTTAACTGTAAAGTCAGAATAACTACTAAATAAAAGCCTTATTATCATTATGTAGTCAGAGAACGACATAAAATAGCTGACATACGCACATCGTATTATTTTAAGTTGCAATTAGTAATTAGATATACGCATTCCAAGCGGTCAATATTTTCTACTGATTTCTATGATTCATGGCATATCGTATTCTCACCGAAAAACAAATAAACTGTCGTTACTATAATTAAAATAAGATAAAATAAAATTATCTTTTGTAAATACTATTTATCTAATTAAAATCATTTTCCCTACTTTTCATCTCTTGTTTCAAATGGGCACTTTTGGTCAATTACGTTAAAAAACATTAATTTAATTCATGTTTGTGGAAACAAAAATACAAATTATACAACCCTAAATTGTGCTTGTGTGTGTCGTGGCAACGCCGCGTTGCTATCGTCCATAAGAAATACATGGTCCTATCTCCGCAATGTTATTTTCTAAACGTGGAACGTAGTATAGCATGATACTATAACAACAAGATATGCTCACTTGCCGTTCTAATTTTAATCGACTTTGCGCATGCCATCATAGCGAGACAAAGTCAGGCAACTTGTGTGTATCATATTTTAAGGATGCATCATATGGCAACGTTGTTCCATTACTGTAATGAACAACTTCGAAACTTAAACTGTTAACGGTAAGTATATCTTGATGCCATATCTTGCACTAAGAAGTCATAACTAGTTACTTTCTGTGAAAACGTGGTTTGAAAATTAATAAGTAATTTGTAAAATTAATTAAAAAAATATATGAATCTACGATTTGATTGTGTATATTAAAAAACAAAATAAATATTGCTACAAAACATAAATTAAATATAAAAGGCTGGTAAAATGTAAAGAATTTGACCATAAAATAAAAGCGGGTCATACTTGAGACTTTATGAATATCATTTAGACATTTATTCTACAATCTTTGTGATTTTTATTTTGCGAATATTGTAATTATCTTAGTAATTTTACATCTTCGCTAACATTTACATATTTTGTTGCTTCTATTAAGTTTTTTAAATATATTTTTGTTATTTTTAATTTTGTCACCATTATAACTACCGTAAATGTGTTCCACTTTACTACATACACTTCATCTAATTTACATACCGATGCACGCGCAGAAATAATATTTAAAGATTTCTATTAACGTTAACTTAAAGAAATAAACAATAATATGTTTCATTTAATTTGTATAAATTTATAAAGCGTTTTTATGAAGAACATTTGTTCGGAACACACTGTAACCATGATACTATAACAAACAAGATATGCTCACTTGCCGTTCTAATTTTGATCGACTTTGCGCATGTCATCATGGTGAGACAAAGCTAGGGGACTTGTTTGTATCATATTTTAACGATGCAACATATGGCAACGTTGTTTCATTACTGTAAAGACCGCTTTACAGCTTGCAAGAAAACTTGCTGCAACTTCTTGCATGACTAACTTTCATGCAATATATTGCAGGGTCTTTATGTGCGACTTTACAGCTTGCAATTAATGTTGAAATTTTTACTCTTAACCTAACTTATTTATGATTTTTTTTAATTACTAGTTTATTTAAAACACTTTAGTCGATTTAGTTTGATAGATAGATGAATTAATTTCGATAGATTTAGATTAGAATTTAGAATGATATATTTAGAATTAATTTCAATAGATATATTGATTTAGATAGATAGATAGTAAATTTCGTAATGCCAAGACTATGCAAGACATTGTTGGTACTTCGGGCAGAAGATAGTTCAATTTTTGATGATACTGTAACGTATTAATTAAAAATATTAAAATTAGAAAAAGCCGATAATCTACAAATCAAGCCAAGCTAAATACAAATGTGTGGGAAAGGAAATAATAAACAAAACAGGAAACAGCTGATCGGCATGTCTCCGTGTCAATCAGTGATTATGACATTTGACATTGTGAAAAAATCAAACTTCCTACAAATTCCCCTAGACTTGCATGAAAACTTGCACAGAAAATGGCACCAAACCGATTATCGCGCAACTGCAATAAGTTGCAGGCAATAATCAGCTGACAACATACTGCGCATGCCTTTGGGCAACTTTCTTGCGTCTTGCAGGTAAAATTGCAAGCTGTAAAACGGACTTAATGAACAACTTCAAAACTTAAACTGTTAATGGTAAGTATACCTCGATGCTATATCTTGCACTAATAAGTCATAACTAGTTACTTTCTGTAAAAACGTGTTTTGAAAATTAATAAGTAATTTGTAAAATTAATTAAAGACATAGGTATATGAATCTACGATTTGATTGTGTGTATTATAAACAAAATAAATATTGCTACAAAACATAAATTAAATATAAAAGGCCGGCAAAATGTAAAGAATTTGACCATAAAGGAACTTTTCAGGCAGCCGTCTCAAAAGTCCGAATAGTTATGATGATTGCCGACCTCGCGAATAGCCGAATGATGGTACTTTAAGAAGAAGATTAATTATTATTATTAATATTAGTGTGTGTGTAATGTTAATTTGTTTTGTTGTATAATCCACTTTGATTTAGGATTTTTTATATTTTGGCAACGGTAAGTAAATTAGATGAAGTATATACTGTGCAGCAATAGCTATTGCTAATGTTGCGGGTATTAAGACACATTAAGATCGGAGCTCGACGGGTTACTAATATTAGAAGGACAGATAACAGAGCTACACCTCGGGAAAAAGGACTGCTAAGGAAGATTGAATTATTGCCTAGGGATATTGGTCAAATGACGGAATATATTCGTGGAATGACGAATAGAAAAGTAATCGGATGAGCTCTAGAAATACTGCAAAGCACTCACAATATGATTAAAAAAACAACACAGCCCAACAGTGCCTGAATATTAAATCAAATATCAAATCAAATCGATTATTCAACCTAATCAAATCGGTTATGGAATTAAATCGATTATCGAATCCAATCGACTATCTTATCGAATCGAATGAAATCGAATCGCATCGAATATAATCAAATCCAATCGAATCGAATAGAAATAAAATAAAGTAAATTAAAACATCGCTACTTGCTTAGAAGGTTGCAAAGCACTCACAATATGATTCGAAAAACAACACAGCCCAACAGTGCCTGGATCATAGAGAAATAACAATCTGGATATTAAATCAAATATCAAATCGATTATCAAATCTAATCAAATCGATTATCGAATTAAATCGATTATCAAATCGAATCGACTATCTTATCGAATCGAATGAAATCGAATCGCATCGAATCTAATCAAATCCAATCGATTATCGAATAGAATAGAAATAAAATAAAATAAAGTAAATTAAAACATCGCTCCTTGCTTAGACGATAACTTAGACTTAAGCACTCCCGTAGAGGCACATTCCCTCTTTTACAGGATAATCGTGAAGATACCATAGTTAGTTTCATTAGAAACTTTGCTGCTACTACTAAACCTGCTATCAAAGCAGTTATTTTTTAATAAAAGTAATTAAGATAGGAATAAAGTGTTAAAATATTTAGTTAAAAATCTCATTGAGTTTATCGAAAATACAAGCTGATTATAGCCGCAAATGTCAAACATGGAATAAAAAATTTCGGTTTAGCAGTGTTTGCATGTTTTATATTTTAGATCATAGATAAATAATATAATAGTAGTTTTAGATCTTAGGCAAGGAAAGTTTAGATGCTGTATACTTCAAATACAAAAAGATAAAGCTTTAGAAAAGTACATTTTGTTTATATTATGTTTTATGTTATGAATTCTGCAATTTTTTATTTATATAAAACAAGAATGAGTAAATATTTGTTTCTTTGGAGATTTAATTGCAGTTAATTATTAGAATTTGTTTTGGCAATTACCCTTTAATAGACTAGGGAATAGATTTGACAATCGTCAAATCAGCAGTTGCCAGATTGCAACAGATGTTTGCCATTTATCTCGAGAGAGAGACAAATATTTACTCGTTTATTGGGGTTAGGTAGGCCCAATAAAAGGTGGATAGAGGATATAGAGGAAGATCTTCAAACCATGAACATCAGGCAGTGGTGAAGCAAAGTACATTGTTAAGCAGGCCAAGACATACAAAGGGTTGTAGTGCCATTAGAACAAGAAGAAAAAGAAGTTGGCAAATAAAAAAGTGAAAATTTTTATGGATAAGCAATATTTTACAATTTGTGACATTTTTCTTTTAATTTTTGAAACTCCTAAATTTTGAAATACATTCTTGACCTACAGAAAAATGTCTTTACATTATCGTCACAATCAACATGATTAGCTTATGTTATTAGGTTTTTAAACAATTTTTTCC